TAGTCACAATGCAAACTTTAACTAGGCAATTTAACACAGCCAGCGACGAGGTATCTGTCTCTGTATGTCTCTTTTTCTGTATCTGTGTGTGTATGTATGTCTCTCTCTCCGTATGTGTGTGTCTCTGTATCTCTTTCTGTCTGTGTGTGTGTCTCCATATCTCTCTCTCTCAGCCTGTGTGTGTCTGTGTCTCTGTATCTGTCTCTCAGTGTGTGTGTGTGTGTGTGTGGGTATGTCTCTCCCTGTGCCTCTGTATCTCTCTCTCATCTGTTGCCAGTTTGAAAGTGATTGACAGATTCTGCTGCTAAGCCCTACTTCACACCACTGTTTTTCCTGGATCAAACCAAACCTGGGATCCGGAACCTCAGTGCAACTGTGTTCACGGGCCGGAAGCAATCATCCCCTGTCCAGATGCGGCCCGTGGGCCACCAGTTGGACCTCCATGATTTAGGAGGGGCAAGAAAAAAAGGAAGCAGTAATAATAAAAATAATTCTTGCATTTGATCAAGTGCCTTGTTACGTCATTGAGGTGTCTTAAAGGACTTCACAGAAAATACTGTAAAGTGAATTGACTGTATACTGTATTTTGAGGGTGAAATGCAGCAACCATTTGCGCACAGCAGTTTCCCATGAACAGTCATGGATTGAATGACCAATTTATTTATTTATTTTTTGAAGAGATTATTACCCCTGGAAAGCAATCTGCCAATCAACAGTACGAATCATTTGAACTAATGTCTTGGTTATCAGACAGTTACTCCACATTTCTTTAGCAAGCGAACACCCTTCTCCTATTGAGTCATCCAGATGTTACCCCTGTCCTTTGTGCCTCATCACATCGTCGAGAAGTCTCAAGATGCTTAACAGGATATACTGTAAAGTGGATTGAATTTTGTCTATTTTGTGGGTGAACGCAGCAGACAGTTGGCGCATAGCAATGTCCCCCAAACAGCCATGGAGTGAGAGACCAATTTTATCTGGGGGATTGTTTCCAGGATACCAAGAGGGAGAAACTCCCTTCCCTTTTCGAATTGCAACACCGGATCTTTAACGTCCAGCTGAACAGGCAGACGGGACCTCGGTTTAATGTCTCATCTGAAGGATAGCCATACTTTCTGCCACCCCACTTCCACAAATAATTCAACAATTTTATTACATATTTAAAATGTTACACTTAAAAACCCAGCAACAAAATATAATAAAGTACAATGAAATTGACCGAGGAACTCTGCCCATATAAGCAAGATGACCACCACACCAGAAAGAACCAAAGAAACCTATTGTACTGTGTGCATAATAATAATCCTTGCATATGATATAGTGCCTTATCACATCATTGAGACGCCTCAAGTGTTTCACAGAATATATTCTAAAGTGAATTGCCTGTGTATTTTTTTTGCGAAATGTGACAACCAATTGTGCACAGCAGTGTCCCACATACAATTGTGCATTGTATTTTTGGGAGGGAGATTATTACCCCCAGAAAGCAATCCACCAACCGACTGACAACCCCATTTCTACTTACTGCTTGGTAATAACAACAACAACAACAATAACAACAAAGTTACATTTGTATAGCACCTTTCACGTCGGGAAGACGTCCCAAGGCGCTGGACAGTCAGAGTTTTGGACCCGAGCTGGGGGTCAGGATCGGGGAGGGTGGAGGGCAGAGGGGGAAGCAGCGTGATCAAAAGCACAGTCGAAGAGGAGGCTCTTGAGATGGGTCTTGAAGGAGACGGAGGGACTGCGGGATAGAGTTCCAGAAGGCGGGGGCAGAGTTGCAGAACTCTGGTGGGGTGAGTGAGGCGGGGGACATGAAGAAGGCCGGAGCCCACTGAACAGAGGGAGTGGGCAGGATGGTAGTAGGTTAGGAGGTCGAAGAGGTAGAGGGGAAGCAACGCCATGGGGACTTTGAAGCTGAGGACCTCCTTGAACTGTATTCTCTGTGTGATGCGAAGCCGTTGGAGTCGGGCGAGGATGGGGGTGATAGGATCACAGAGCCTGATGATCTGCAGCTTATGGAGGGAGGAGTTGGGGAGGCCGACAAGCAAGGAGTTTGCAAAGTTTGCAAACGAGTTTGATGTAATGAAAGCATGTAAGAGAGATTTGGCAGCCTGCGGTTTTAGACAGTGGCGCATCCGGGCAATGTTGCAGAGGTGGGGGAAGGCAGAGCAGGTCATGGCACAGATGTGGGGTAGAACGGATAGTTGAGGGTCAAACAAGACACCAAGGTTCCTGACTGGCTTAAAACCTCTTGACGTACCTCTGGTAAACAGAGGTATGTCAAAGTAACAAATGATGCCCTCTCTCTCTGTGACCAGGGCTCCACCTGCCTCCTCGTTCTCCTCGACCCCTCCACCATGTTCAACACAGTCGATCATGCCATCTTCTCCACCGTCATCCATCTACTGGGATTGTACTCGCGTGATTCATATCCTACTTGACTAATCGCCAACAATATATCTTGGCAAATGGTTTCTCCTCCCGCCACCGCCACGGGGTACACCAAGACTCTATCCTTGGCCCCCTTCTTTTCATCATTTACATGCTCACTCTCGGCGACATCATCCACAGACATGGGTCAACTTCCACATGTATGCAGATGACACCCAAATCTATTTCTCTCCTCCAGCTGCAACTCCCAGTGCATTGATGTCCTGTCAGCTTGTCAAGACCTGGATGAGCGCAAATTTCCTGCAGCTGAACGTCAGCAAGACTGAAGCCATACTCCTTGGATCCTGTCAATGTCTTCTTTCCTGCGGATCCAAACTCCTCAACCTCGCCTGGGCTCTCCCTCACACTCACCGAACCCGTGCGCAATTTAGGCATCAGGTTCTATCCACAGTTTTCTTTTTCCACCTCCGCCATATGGCTCGCCTCCATCCATACTTCATACCCACAGCAGCCAAAACCCTCGCCAATGCTTTGTCACTTCCTGGCTGGACATTTCAAACGCCCTCCTCACTGGTCTCCCCAGTTCCAACACACACAAAATTCAATTAATTCAGAACTCCGTCGCCCGGATACTCACCCGCACAAAACTCGGGACCCCCATCACACCAGCCCTTGCCAGGCTACACTGGCTCCCAATTACTAAATGGATCAACTTCAAGATCCTCTCACTCATTTTCAAATCCCTTCATGCACATTCCTAACTATCCGATTTGTTTAATCCTCCACTCCACCACCCGCAGCCTCCGCTCGGACGGCTCCAGCCTCCTCTTCATCCCTCACCCCTTCCGCTCCACCATCGGCAGCCGTCCTTTCAGCCACTACGCCCCGAAGCTCTGGAACTCCCTCCCGCAATCACTTTGCCTTGCCCCCTCATTCCCCACTTTCAAATCCCGCCTAAAGGCTTTGCTTTATGATTGTGCTTATGGTCACCTCTTCCCCTGACTCTCCCCCTGGCTCAGGGTCAGACTCCACCATTGCCAAGCGCTCTGGGACTCAACCCCACGTGAAGGGTGCTATGTAAATGCAAGTTGTTGTTGTTTGTTGTACGTGGAGTAAGGAAACTTGCCTAAGGTTTTGCCCTGCCTGAGATTCAAACCCGGTTTCTCTCGCTTGTGAGGTAAGCGTGTAAAGCAACTATGAAAAAATACAACATTTAATAGCGCCTTTCATGTAGGAAATGCTCTTATACAAACACATTACAAACAAGGTAAAGTGCACAGCTTTTCACTGCCATCATGCCCACATATCCTGTGCATTAGCGTTAAAGAAACTATAGAAACCACCATACTACACCACTTATACAGTGCCTTTGGGAGGCATTTGTCCTTGCTGTTATTATCACAGTACAGGACCAGATAACCTCATGCAATATCATCAACCGTTTTCATTACCAGCTAAAAGGCACTGCTGAGTTACTGAGTCCTGAATGATGACAGTTTTGCAATTGTTGATCCATGATCGCTATGACCTGGAGGAAGAAGTGGTACTGTGGCAGATGCTTAAATGAATTTGCAATCACAATATACATTTCTATACCAAAATTTCTCCCTGTTTGGTGGCTTCAGGCAAAGAAGGAATACCATAGATTTTGCTTTTTTTCCCCCACACGTTTTGAAAGCTCGAGCCCTTTTGGCCAATCTCCACGTTTGCAAAAGAAGCTGCTTTTGTGCTTGCACTGTATGAGACACTGAGGGTGAGGGGGTTAGAGAGGCTTAGTTTAAGCGGGGAAAGGAAAGAAGCAAAACCAGAGAGGGTTTGAATCAGCAATAATAGAGGGATTTTGCATCAGCCAGTCAGTCAGTCAGTCGGTGTCTAATCTAATCTTCCTCCCAGCACCTCCCACCCTCCCTCCCTCTAGCCAGCCAGCAGCACTGAGATCTGGACTAGTGTTTCTCCCTCCACACCCTTGTTGGACAGCGCATTCTCAATGCAGCGTCAGCTTTAAGAAAGAGCGGTGGATTTTGTGCGCTTTTTTTGGTTATTGTTGGGTTTTTCTGTTGTTTTTGTTGTTGTTGTTGCATTGTTTGGTTTGAACACAGAATTCAGCCTCCGCTGCGCTCAGGAGAGGGAGAGTTTTTTTGTTGGTGGTTTTTTTGTTCTATTGCTTGCTTTTAACACAGAATTCAGCCTCTGTCGGGCTCAGCTCGCAGAGAAAGAGACAAGAGGGACACACACACAGACACAGACAGAGACACACACACACAGACAGAGACACCCACACACACACACACACAGACACACACACACACACACAGACAGAGACACACAGACAGAGACACACACACACACACACACACAGTCAGAGACACCCACACACACACACACAGTCAGAGACACACAAACACACACACACAGACAGAGTCACACAGACAAAGACACCCACACACACACACACACACAGAAACATACACACACAGACAAAGACACCCACACACACACACACACACAGAAACATACACACACAGACAAAGACACCCACACACACACACACAGTCAGAGACACACACAGAGACACCCACACACACACACACACAGTCAGAGACACCCACACCCACACACACAGTCAGAGACACACAAACACACACACACACACACACAATCGGAGACACATAAACGATGGAGAAAAACGCTGCTGTGAACGGGCTGTTTGACAGGAAGAGGTCGGGTTGCACGGCTCAGGCGCTGGCTGCCAGCTCTCCGGGAGCAGAGGAAGGAGGAGAGGAGAAGCCTGGCTGTGGGACGGGCAGGGGCCGGGGCAGGGGAATGGGCAAGGCTCTGGCTTTCCTCAGGAGGAACCTGCTGGTGTTGCTGACCGTGTCGGGGGTGCTGGCCGGGGCGGTGCTGGCGCTGGGGGTCAGGAAGCTCGGCTTGTCCCGGGCTCAGAAGGTGCATTTCGCCTTCCCGGGAGAGTTGCTGCTCCGCCTGCTGAAGATGGTCATCCTGCCCGTGGTGTTCTGCAGCCTGCTGTCCGGGGCCGCCAGCCTGGACCCCCGAGCCCTGGGCAAGCTGGGAGGCAAAGCCATCGCTTACTTCGCCATCACCACACTGATAGGCTCGGCACTCGGGGTGGCCCTGGGACTGCTCCTCAAACCCGGCACCGGCTCCCACACCGCCCTCAGCTCCAGCTCCAGCTACAACATCTCCTCCAAAGAGGCCACTGACTCCTTTCTGGATCTGTTCAGGTAATGTTTACCCTCTCCCCCCCAACCCCCCACACACCCACATACTGACACTTACACACACACACACACACAGCACACTCTCACACACACAATTGATCACACAATCCACCACTGTTTGTGGGACATTGCTGTGCATTGGCTGCTGCCTTTAGCCCTCAAAAATTCAGTCACTCCACTTTACAGTGTGTCCTGTGAAGCACTTTGAGCCTCCTCAACCAGGCCTCAACTAATAACCAAACGCAAGGATTATTATTATTATTATTATTATTACAGGCATGCACTCACTCACACACATCACTCAGACTCACATGTTTCAGCATTCTCTCAGTGACCTGAACCCTGAAATATACTCGGCACTTACTGTATGTACTTAGAGCACTCGCCTCGCAAGCAAGAGACCTGGGTTTGATTCCCGGCCGGGTGAAATATTGGCCAAGTTTTCTTATTCCACACACCTCTATTTACCTAGCAGTAAGTAGGAACCCTTTTATTCATTTAGAATTGTTCATTTCAATCCACCATTGTTTGTAGGACACTACTATGTGCAATTGGCTGCCTCCTTTTGGCCACAAAATATACAGTCAATTCACTTTACAGTATATTCTGTGAAGCGCTTTGTGATGCCTTGAAAACGTGATAAGGCGCTGTATCAAATGCAAGTATTATTATGATTATTACTGCGCAGGTAGGCAACCCAGGCTGGCTACTGAGTGAAACTGCAGGTATTTCACCAGCAACAGCCATGCAGTTGTGTATTCACTGAGCAAATATATTCAATGTCAATATACCCTGGGCATGTAACGTGCATTTGCAGTAATGTACATACATTGAGTGTATACATGTATACAGTCTGTATATACATTGAATCTATGCATTCATTGTGCAGTGCGAATATTCACTAACCATGTTCTAATCTGTACATAGATGGAACATGCACAATCATGCTCCAGTATTGTATATGCACTGTTCATATAAACACATGGTTCAGTCTGTAAAACACTGAGAATTTAAACAGCTGATCTCCTTTAATGCGTCTATTTGGAGTTGCTGCACTCACAATTCAAAATGTGTTTATTTTAAGATGAAGAGAATTAAATAGTATATAACCAGGTACATCGGGCATTGGTGCAGCAGGTGTATATAAACTCCTGATAACTCGTGACTCCAAGCGAAAAGAGTTCAGTGATGAGTTATCATTAGTGGCAAGTTAGACATGTATATAAATACATAAATAAGTCCGGCCGGGGTATTGACAGCACAATAACTTAAGTGGTAAAGTAGTGGCAAGTTAACCAGGGTTGAGTTATCAGGAGTTTACCGTAGCTACATTTTCTACATGCAACTGTACAATGAGCTTGATTGTTCTAGAAACTGAAAATAGGAACGGAAGGTAAGCTGAAACTCAGAGCTGGCGAGAAGCACATAAGTAAAATGTTTTTAAGAACCACACCAGAGCAGCTTTAAATTGATAAACCTTTTAGTATCAGTCTGAAGCTTGGCTCAGGAACAGTTCCATGAATGTACTAACATCAGCTATTTGGTGTAGGAGCCTTTAATATCAAGAATGTCACAATGTTTCTTTAAATATTAATGACTGGATTTGTAGTCGACTGTGCAGTCAATGTATTGCAATGTCCCCCAATCAGCCGTGAAATGAATGGCCAATTTTATTTGGGGGATGGTTGGCCAGGACATGGGGACAAATTCAAATTCCCTCCTCTTTTCAGATAGTGCTGTGGGATCTTTAACGTCCACCTGAACAGACAAGTGGGTAGTCAGGCAGAAACTTGCCTGACTGCCCACCTGTCTGTTCAGGTGTCTAATGTGAATGTTGTAAGTTCAAACCCCGACGTGGGGCTTGGACTTACAACCTTATGACCCAGAGGTAAGAAAGAGACAATTGGCAGTAACAAGCTCATCTCATCTTGATACCAGTTCGTCAACAAAGTGCATCCAAGTCTTGTTTGAAAGCACAGGGGGAAAATGCTATCATTTGTTGAACATATAGCGGTAACATTGGAGTCCTGCAACATTTTGGTAAGAGCATTCCCTTGTAAGTGAGAGAACCCGGGTTTGATTCCTTAGCAGGTGAAATCTTAGGCAAATTTCCTTACTCCACACACTTCTGTTTACCAAGCAGTAAGTAGGAACCTAGTTGTTAGTCGACTGGGGGACTGCTTTCAGGGGGTAATAATCCCTCAAAAAAAACAAATTAAAAAATAGTAATTTGGTCACTCAATCCACTTTTTCCCCAAAGTGTAGTTTGTACTCAGGGATTAATATGCAGGCAGGTGTTTGGACAACCCTGAACGGTGCTTTAAAATGTCACCCCATTCCCCTTTCTGGGTGTAAACAGCTGTTAAAGTTCTCTGCTAAATGTTTGCTTTCGGCAGTGGCTTTCGATAGCTATACACGATAAATGACTCCTGCAGGAGTACAATCATAGAATCTTACAGCACAGAAGGAGGCCATTCAGCCCATCGTGTCTGTGCCAGCTCTTTGAAACAGCTATCCACTTAGTCCCATTCCCCAAAGCCTTGCAACATTTTTTTTTCACGTAAGTATCCAATTCCCTTTTGAAAGTTGTTATTGAATCTGCTTCCACCACCCTTTCAGGCAGTGCAATCCAGATCGTAAGAACTTGCTGCATAAAAAACATTCTCACCGCTGGTTTTTTTGCCAATTATCTTAAATAGTAGAAGGAAATAGGATTAAATGGGAGGAAAAATCGAAGCTTTATTCAGCAACTTGACTTTTCTATACCCAGTCCTTCAGCTAAGTGCAGTGAGTTGCTCATTATTTATTTACATCTCCAACTGAACCCATTCAGTCAAACAGTCCTGGCAACAGAGCATGTACCATTTACTTACACTGCTTGCGTAGTGATTTTTTTGGCACAATCCAATGCCAAGTTGCCGTGATAATGCTCCTGTCAATTGTCCCCAATTTGGTGGCAGTGTTCTCTTGAATTTCATGCTGAGCTGTGCTGCCCACCAGGAAGCTTGCAGGGAGTTTCTAGTACCAACTAGTGCAGGATCAAACCCGTGCTTGTCAGATGTCAAATGGCCAAGTGACTGTCCTCCTTGGTGATGTTTTATTGGCAGGGGGGAGGGGTGTGGGGAAGGGAAGAGAAGGCAAGGTCACATAACAGAGCAGAGGTTCTCTATTTGGTCAGAGCTACTTTGACAGCAGACTTTTGGGAGCTTGATTTTCTTGGTTTATTTTACAATCAGCCTCTTTATTTCCAGTTCTCACATCATTGAGTCATTTTTGCCATTTGGAAAATCGATTGCCGTGTGAATTTGCTGATTTGGGGCAAGAAATTCCACCCGGGTCTAGATTTTGCCCACAAACTACACAGTCAATCCCATTGAAGTATATTCTGTGAAGCACTTTGGGATGTCTCAACAATGTGATAAGACGCGATAACAAATGCAAGGATTATTATTATTTGTTGTATTAGAGTAGCATTTCCAGAGTGTCCAGAATTTGTCAACTTCTTAAATTCAGTTTTCACTTCGAAGCCGTTTTTCTGTCAGATATTTTTAAGAACCAACTGAAATCGGGCATCTGAGATTAAAAAAAGGAAATCAGCAATTTGTCAAATTCTGTACGCTCTGAAATGATGCAACATAGGAATATAACAACATAAGAATTGCTAGATGCAAGAAGACCAAGGTATATCCAGTTCCCCTTTCACCATCCTGGGTTCCCAAGGCATGCACATAATAATAATAATAATAACCCTTGTATTTGATATAGCGCTTTTCATGTCTTCTAGACGTCTCAAAGCGCTTCACAGAATATGTCATGTCCCACACTATAACTGTATCCCAAGATATTATTTTCTAAAATAAATGTATCTAATTTGCACTTGAAAGAATCAACACTCTTTGCTTCCATCCAAATAGCGTAAATCTAGACTCGAGTGGAAATTCTGCCCAGATGTGTGACTGTGACTGTGTGCGATCAAGTCTATCTAGACCATGGAGACTTGCAGTGAAATGTATCTAATCTAGAAACAAATGAACTCACAAAGCTCATATTTTCTTAAAAGTCACCCGCGTGTGTTAATCTGCTCAAGATCCCTGCCCCCTAACTCCCAATTTCTGTCCATTTGTGCAGAAATGTTAAATCGAAGAAAAGAATTCAGCTGTAAAACAAATATTTGATTGGAATAGAGTGAATGAGCCATTCAGCAATATTCAGCACTTTATTCTCTTAACTGTGTAGCTGTCCCTCAGTGTGCTGCTGAATGATCTGGGGCTGCGAGACCGCATTAATCTTTGTTTAACTTTTCTAAACATTTCGGAATAAAAATACTTCGAACAAAGGAACAGGAGTAGGCAATTCAGCCCCTCGAGCCTGTTCCGCCATTCTATTAGATAATGGCTGATCTGCACCTCAACTTCATTTACCCACTTTTATTCCATATTGTAAGAGGTTCAAGGGGAGACACCAAATGGTTGTACGCAGGCGTTTATTGATCATAGACTAAGTCAAACATTTACAATGTTTCAGCAATAGTAACAGAGAAAATACACAGAATTACCTGGTAAAGGCGTAACCTTCCTGCTCTTGTTCTTACTCTTCTTCTCAATAGTTGTGTTTCAACCCAAACTCTTATGCTGGTCTTCTCACGTACGCAGTTTCAATTATGGACTTGTGTTTTTTTTCACACATTACCTCTTCTTTCCCCGATCTCAAGATCTCATACCCTTATCAAACAGCTCAAATTAGTTGAACCAGAATGAGACAAAAGGGAAACAATAACCTGGGCCAATAGAAAACTGCGTCTGCAATTTTGCCGTGGAATCCACTACAAACAGTGGCCTCCGCTATAAAATCGCTAAAGTATGACGTTTCTGGCGCCCGAGTCTCTGACGGCTGTTTATCCGACACAACTGTGGCCAGAGCAGCTCGAGACGCACAAACTGTGTGTGGAGCAAGCGGGAAATGGGCTTCTCTCCAGTCGAAGGCTCCGCTGTTGAGATTGTCTGTGGGACTCTCTCTATGTATTTGTGAGTGTCTATGTGAGTGTGTCTCTATCCTTCACATGTGTGTCTGATTGTGAGTATCTCTGTGTGAGTGTGGTTGTGTCTCTTCACTATGCTTGTGTTTGTGAGTGTGTCTGTGTGTGTCTCTTCTATGTGTGTGTGTTTATGAGTTTCTCTTTGTGAATGTGGATGTATGTTTCTCTCTCTGTCTACGCGTGTGTATGTCTCTTTGCGTCTATGATTTTCTGTGTGTGTTACTCTCTATGAGAATGTGTCTCTCTGTGTCTGTGAGTGTGCGTCTGTGTCTCTCTCACTCTGTCTCTGATTGTGTATGTGTGTCTGTGTTCTCTCTCTCTCACTGCTCCTGCGTGTCTATTTTTGGCAGATCTCTAGGCCCTTCAGACCTGCGCTAGTGTTCCCCCCCACCTTCCCCCCACCACCACCACAAATGGGCCAGACAGTTTTTGTTCAAGAAGAATATAGGTCATTTCCTCATGTTTAATTTTTACCAATGAAGTGAAAAAATGTAGGTTGGCAATAAAATGTACCTCAATAGCACCAATCAACTCCCTGCAATTTTCTGTAAAATTTGTCAAATTTCCGCACAATGTTTGGCAAATATTTCCACACTTTTCTATTGGCCTAGCCAATAACCAACTAAGCACATCAGCCGTTGTAACAATGTTAAACTTTGCTGATCATAACTATTAAAATAGTTTCTCTGTAGCTAACCTATCGAATCCCTTTATCATTTTGAACACCTCAATTATATCACCCTTCTGAACTCAAGGGAATACAAGCCAAATTTATGCAACCTGTCCTCATAATTTAACCTTTTACGCCCTGGCATAATTCTGGTGAATCTGCGCTGCACCCCCTCTAGGGCCAATATATCTTTCTGCAAACAGGCATGGACCCGAGACCTGAGGCAATAACTTTCAGGCCAATACATTTTATTTTCATTGCAGTCTCTATGCAGCTAGTTCAATTCTGGGAAAGACATCAAGTCTTCCAGCATCTCTTGCACTGAAGACAATGGTTTGATGGTTGTAGTGGAGAGGTGTGAAGACGGCAAAGGGTGAAGTTTCAGAGAGACGAAGGAAAACAATCCTCTGATATGCTGGAAGACAAAAGGTACTAACGAGAAAGAAGAAGGAGGACTCGACACATGTTGGAAGCAGGGAAAGCTGTTCAGACGCGTCTCAAGTGTGAAAGGAAAGCAGAGTTACTCCTATAGAGGGATTCGCTGCCAGAAAGATGTGAGAGTGAGATAGTGAGAAGGGAAAGATGCAAAGAGAACAAGGAACAAAATTCTTCCAACTTCAGAACAAAGCAGCTGGAAACACCATGACCTCTATAGTGACCAGATTAGATAATGAATTACACTGTTCTGAGACAATTCACAAACAAAGTGGGAGTTTTGTTTCAGCCTTAATCAACACATGGTGTAATTTGCTGAGTCGGTTCTTTTGGGGCCATAGTGCCTGTGATGGGTTGAGGTAGTGGACGTAAGCAAGCAATAGACACCACACTCTAGCTGTTAGTTTGGCTAGACGCTGCTCTGCTTGGCAGGTAATATGACATGAGTCAGCGGTGCCACACATGTACTGAGAGCCTAATGTAGGCTTGTGTAATCAGATGGTAGCATTGACTGACTTGGCAAGACAGCTTTTAGTACAATTTTAAGAGGCAGTGCATGTATCAGCAAATCGCCAGACTCGAGGCAACATCACTAAGTGCTGCTGAGTTCTTCAGTTTATCGGGTTGGTGATACCAGCATTGCATTTTCTGCAACCAACAATTTGACAATTTAAGAACAGATTTTTATTTAAGTTAATTTTAAGAAAAGCATTATTTGCTAACACTCTGTCTGTGGTGTCACTTCAATTATAATAATAATAATCCTCGCTTATGACAAAGCTCCTTATCAGATAATTGAGGCGTCTCAAAGTGCTTCATATAATGTAAAGTGGATTGACAGTGCATTTTGTGGACAAAACACGGCACACAGCAGTGTCCCACAAACAGTCGTGGATTGAGTGACCAAATTTTGTTTAAGGGATTATTACAACCGGGTTCATACTAACTGCTAGGTAAACAGAGGCATGTGGAGGAAGGAAACTTGCCTAAAGTTTCTATTTGTGTACTGTACAATGTTCACACAACCAAGGGAGCGTGAACGCACACATTTCACAGATCACATCAGGCTTTGCGAACTATGCTGAGGTTGGCACAGACCAGTGTGCAAAAACCTGGCAAACACTATTCTCAGGAAAGTCATACCGATATAATTCCGATGTGCTACCTGTTATTGGTGTCATTGCAAGCACCTTATGCTCTCCCCACCACTGTGAGTATATACATTTCAGTATTTGGTCTTCTCTGTATGAAACGTATTGAAATTATTGGCCAAAACACGGGTTAATCCATTTACTACAAAACTTTTTTTCTTCCTCCACAGGAATCTGATTCCATCAAACCTTGTTGCCGCAGCGTTTCGGTCGGTAAGCACACCAACAGCAAATGGGTATAAGGTGGGATGGGCGGAGTGGTGGGGGGTGTGGAGTGGGGGGGGGGTGGAGTGGGGGGTGAAATCATGAATCAGCCAATACGGAGGTCACAGTACAAGGCCAGAGTAGGAAATGGAATGTTTCAGGAGTGAACTGAAGAGTGCTTTTCGCATCTTTTAGCTACAAAACTCTGGATGATTTCCGGGACTTTAAAAAAAGCGTTGAAAATGAAAAGGTATGTGCAAGCCAGGCGTTGCTGCGTTAAAAATGGCTTCCGTTTTGCAACTCAAATTGAGGATTCAGGAATAAATAGGGGAAAAATTCATTTTGAGAAGGGCGTTTTACCAGATATTCCAGGTCTTTTCTCAACTGAAGTGACACGAGGGCTAAATGCTGAAGCGAAAAATTGCCTTTGCCAGACTTCAGGATTTTCCCCCTTTCTGACATACCGATGAATTTGTCAGACAATCATGGAATTTCAATCGCAATTGGAAGCTGCCATTTAACACCCCCTTCTCAAAAAACCCTGCAACCATCCAGTGTATCTCAGCTCACCAACCTCGGAGATTACACCAATTTAACCAACTTCCTCATTACACCAATTTAATTTCAATCCCAATTGTCTATTTGTATAGAAAAACTCGCGTAAGTCTTATCTTTACAAATCTTATAATCACCCAAGTCGTACATTCATCCAGAGTCCCTAGACCTTAAGCGTTCCGAGATGCCATCGGCGTGAAGGGCGCCATATAAATGCAAATTGTTGTTGTTGTTGTTTACTGTATTGAGAAAGTCACCAATGCTTTCCACCTAGTGGCAACAGCAGTTGACCCCCACCTGCATCTGACAGCTGTGGGTGTCCTGTGAATGCTATGTGCTGACACCCTGTTCTGTTATGTGAGTTCTGTAAACCAGAGACATGAAATTTCACCTGCAGTGCTATTTACTTCAAATTTAAGATCGCACAAAACTTAAGAAAATTCTTAAAATCTTGATTCTTAAATCCTTATTTCTTTTAATCTAAATTTGGAAGCTTTTTTTAAAATTTAAAGCTGGAAAACTGGTTTCCAACTAAAGACTGAGTTAAAAACAAAGGTCCACAGTTTCGCCAAACCTTACACTGTAAGACATAAAACCGTCCTGCAGGCTAAGATGAGGAGGAACTTTGGATCACACATGTTTGTGCCAAACATGGAAAGATATTTAATCTTCTAATACTGATAAGCCTTGCTCGGTGAGCATAAAAAATCACCAGAAACATTCGAGATACGAAAATACATGTGTCAAGTTGAAAAATGTCATGGATGTGCGTTTACATGTCTCAATGTGACCTTTTACATGCTTCAATATGACATCTCACATGTCTCAATATGACCTTTTCCACGCGTTGTCGTGTACACAGGACCACCTCAGTTTTGACCCTTGTTTCCTGTTTTCAGTACCAGACAGAGTACAGGTATATGCAGGAAACGGCCTCCGGTGGCAACACCACACTAGTCAAGGTAAGGAAAAAATAAACTCTGATGGACACTTAATGATCAATCGCAGGGTGGGTGCGATGTTCTGGAATTCGCTTTGAGATGGCATAGGTTGATATGATTACCCACTTGTACAGTGAGCTGGATACTGACACTGTACTGGTGAGTTTCAGGGAATCGTTCAGGTTAAAGGACTGCAAATAAACTGCAGTTGATGGGGTTGTCCAGGGAGGTATTAATATAGGGGTAGGTAATTGCCCTTGTTTGATTGAGGGATATGAGGATTGACTGAGAGAAAAGTTGGTAGCAATCTCGCCTCTGAGTCAGAAGGTTGTGGATTGAATCCGCACATCATTCACTAATGAAGGGATGCCACAGAACATTGTGGTCAAGGGAAGAGCGAGGCGAGTCAGAGGCAGGTATCTGGGGGTACTATCAGATCAGGCCATGGTCCATCTTTACACCAGTAAACAGTGGAGATGGTGATGGGGGGGTGGGGGGTGGGGAGAGAGTCGGATAGTTTTCAGGAAAGGAAGGAAAATGAAAACAAGAGAGAAGGAGAATTTAACAAAACCGTTCCTCAACAGCCGGAATAGCTCAGGAGCACTGCAGCCCTCAAACACAGGTTTGACAAGCACGATTCTCAACTCTACTCAGGCATGGCTCCACCTCACGCGTGCCATGTTTCTGCTCTTGATCCCAGGTTCCTGTCGGCACCGAGGTGGAGGGGATGAACATCCTGGGGTTGATCCTCTTTGCTATTACCTTTGGGGTGCTCTGAGGAAGCTCGGACCTGAGGGAGAGCAGCTTATCAAGTTTTTCAGCGCCTTCAATGAAGCGACTATGATCTTGGTCTCCTGGATCATGTGGTAAGTGTAGTCAGTGCTGGAGTGCGGTACACCTCCAATCTTTAGCCATCGCAACATCGGCGAGTGAATTAGAACGCAGCTCTTTGAATCCGTAAACTCAGGCCCCGCCCTATGAGGGGACATGTGGCCGTCGATCAGCGCTTCCAGGATTACCGCTGACAACACTTCCTGCACGTGGTGCTCCAACGCGCACCAGGCACAGGAAGTTGGCCGGAAGCGATGCACAGGACATGATGTCGGCTGCGCTTCCCTCCAAAAGCCAGCCAGCGCTATAAACATCCCTACGCTAAACTGGGTGGGGTCAGGGGCGTGTTGTAACCGGGTCGCCCCATGTGGCACAAAGCATTTCTGCGCGCAAAGTTTCTTTGACGTTGCATAATAATAATAATAATAATAATACATTTTCATTCCTTGTATTAAACAGGTACGCGCCGATCGGTATCCTCTTCCTAGTTGCCAGCAAAATAGTGGAAATGGACGATATCGTTTCCTTGGTAACCAGCTTGGGAAAATACATCCTGGCATCCATTCTAGGCCACATTATACATGGAGTTGTGATTCTGCCTCTGATCTACTTTGTGTTTACCCGGCGAAATCCTTACACCTTTCTCCTGGGCATCATCACTCCATTAACCACGGCTTTTGGAACCTGCTCCAGGTCAGCCTTTTATCAATGTTCAATAGCTTTATTTGTCGCAATGAAGGGTGACAGGTGGATAGATTTTGAGGAAGAGTTTTGTACTTTTTACAGATGTGGGATTTATCGGTTCTTGCAGGCCACCTCAGCTCCCATCCCCAGCTCGGGTGCCAAACCAGTATTGTTAAGCACCTTGGGACATCCTCCCAATGTGAAAGGCGCTGTGGCAATGTAAATTTGCATTGAATGGTGTTGTAAACCAGACACAGAGTCTGCAGTCACTGTCTGTAGACCCAGAGTTTGACATGTCACGTATTTAGTCAAATGACTGTCCTGAGTGTAAGGTTTGCAGCATTTTTTAACATGTTCCTTATGTTAATTAACATGAAGAATAACACGAAGGACATATTAAGAATCATTGCAAGCTTTACCCTCATGTTACAAAGAAAAACTATTTTCAAAACGTATACACATCCTTGTTAAATAACAATAATTGATAATAATAATCCTTGTATTTGGTATATAACAACAAGATTGCATTTATAGAGCACCTTTCACGTCGAGAGGACGTCCCAAGGCGCTGGCCAGTTGGGTCGGGACCCGAGCAGGGGGCAAATGGTCAGGGTGAGGGGAGGGAAGGGAAGGGAGGGAGCAAGGAGGGGGTAGAGAGTCGAGAGGGGAGCTAAAGGCACGGTCGAAGAGAAAGGTCTTGAGACCGGCCTTGAAGGAGGAAAGGGAGGAAGCGGCGAAGGCACTGGGGGATGGAGTTCCAGAGCCGAGGAGCTGAGAGGCTGAAGGCCCGACCACCGATGGTAGGGCGGTTAGGGCGGGGGATGTGGAGCAGACCGGAGCCAGAGGAACGGAGGGTACGGGCGGGTAGGTAGGGGGATAGTAGGTCAGAGAGGTAGGAGGGAGCAAGGCCGTGAATGGCCTTGTAGGTGAGGATGAGGATCTTGAATTCGATCCTCTGGGGGATGGGGAGCCAGTGGAGGCGAGCGAGGGTGGGAGTGATGTGGTCCAGAAGCCTGATGCGGGACAGTACACGAGCTGCAGAGTTCTGAATGACCTGCAGCTTGTGGAGGGAGGTGCCGGGAAGGCCGGCGAGGAGAGAGTTCCCATAGTCCAGCCTTGAGGTGATAAAGGCGTGGACCAGAGTTTCAGCAGCGTGAGGGGTGAGGTAGTGCAGTAGTCTGGCGATATTCCGGAGTTTCTATAATGTCTCAAAATCACAAAGTTCTTTATACAGTAGTAATTTCTGTGACTGTATTTCTGTAGACAGCAGCCAATTTGCAGACAGCAAAGTCCTATAAACAGCCATGAAATGAATGATCATGGGATTGTTGGCCAGGACACTGGAAAGAAAATCCGTTCCCTTTTCAAGTTTTGTCATGGGATCTTTAACTTCCACCTGAACAGACAGACGTTAAAGATTTAACGTCTTATCCGAAGGATGGTACCTCTGACGATGCAGATCTCCCTTGTCACTGCATTGGAAACTCAACCTAGAATGTGAACCTAAAATCCCCAACATGGAGCTTGAACCCACAGCTCAAGAGGGATTGGCAAAGGGGGCAAGGGGTAGGGTGGAGGGATGGGAGGAGGCTGGATTGGTAGGGACAAATAGCATCAATTATTGAACAGGATGAAATTAATGGCGTTTTATAACTAGTCCACTGTGGGAGTTCTCACGCCATGAACCTCTCTTCCCTCCACTCGGACCCCAGCCTATCTTTTTGTTTCAGCCATTCCCTGTGTCTGAAGCGCAGGCGTGGAGAGAGAGAGAATCTTTAGCCTTTTATCGTAGTCTGATTCCCATTAAAGAGCTGACAGACCACAGAGGTTTTAATATACACCGTTAATGGAATGTTTGCTCAGCCACCATTTACCCAACAGCTGCAGGTTCTGAAGTGTTTATCCAGTGGGGTTGTTTGGATAAAAGCTTGACATAAGGGTGGGAGCAAGGGTTAAGGCTAAAATTTTAGACAGCATGTCATTTATATCTGTGACCAGAGGAAACCCTGTACAATACCTGATACAAATAGGCAAGAGCAGCAGATTAATGCAGTATGCCTTCTGTTTGCACGTCATTTGCTTTTCTATTTAAAAGCCTGGCTTTGTAACATTCAGCACCTTTCCATCCCTGTTCTAATCATAATAATAATCCTTGCATTTGATGTAGCATCTTATCACATCGTTGCGTCGTCTCAATGCATTTCACAGGATATAGTGTAAAGTGGATTGTGTATTTTGTGGGCGAAACTCAGCAGCCAGCTGCGCACAGCAATGACCCACAAACAGTCATGGATTGAGTGACCAATTTTATTTGGGGGATTGTTCGACAGGACACTGGGAGAAAATCCCTTCTCTCCTCCATTTGTGTCATGGGATCTTTCACGTCTATCTGAACAGGCAAATGAGAATTCGGTTTAACGTCTCATCCGAAGGACAGCACCTCCGACAATGCAACACCCCCCAGCACTGCATTGGAGCATCAGTTTAGATGTGATTCCAAGTCCTGATGTAACCTTCTGATTCAGAGGCGAGAGTGACACCCGCTGAGCCAAGCTGACAAAGATTTCTGCCCATTTCATTCCTCTTGTCTTTTTCCTTACCACGCTTTTACTTTTAATTTTTTGGTTAAGCTTTTTTTATTCTCTTTCAGGTCTTCTGCTACTTTTAGTCATTCTTCTCAAGAGCACATTCATTTTGTCATTGTCATCTTTCGCTCTTCACTCTTCTCCTTTTCACTTCTGCTTTGCATTCTGTCTTCAGAGGCACGAGAGAGCCTCGCACTTAACTCCGAGAGACAGCGTACCCAGTGTTAGCGACCCCGAGGGCTGGAGAGGAGCTCACTTTCCCTGAGAGGTGGAGGCGAAGGACAACCCCAGGCTCCTCTTCTCCCCTACGAACCGGTTCCTCCGTCCACCCTCTCACGCCTCGCCCATCCTCTCCTCCGACTGCGAGGAGATGCTGGATTTCCTTGAGACCAAAATCAAGGGGATCCATTCAGCCACCTCCGCCCTTCCACCGGCAGTATCAGCAACCAAGGATGCACGCTCCACCTTACCGAGCCAGTCAGGAACCTAACGTCTTGTTCGAATCCCCAACTTCCTCCCCCACATCTGTGCCGTGACCCGCTCTGCCTTCTCCCAACTCCAATACATTGCCCGACTCCGCCACTGCCTCACCCCTCAGGCCGCCTAACCCCTCATATAAGCCTTCATTACAACCAGGCCAAACCCCTGCTCGTCGGCTTTCTCAACTCTTCCCTCCACAATAGTGCAGAACCCCTCATCTCGTGCCCTCTCGTGCACCAGGCTCCATGACCCCATCACATCCAGCCTCGCCCGGCTCCACTGGCTCCCCATCCTTCAGTGATCGAGTTCAAAGTTCTCGTCCTCATCTTCAAGGCCCTCCATGGCCACCTCTCAGACCTGCTAACCTCTTATCAACCTGTCCACTCAGCAGGCTCCAACCTGCTCCATTTCCCCCATCCGGCCCGCCCCACCATCAGTGGTTAGGCCTTCAGCCTCTCTGCCCCCACCCTTTGGAATTCCATTCCACATTCCCTTCGCGTCATTCCTTCCCTTGCCTCCTTCAAGGCGCATCTGAAGACCTTCCTTTGCGCATTCCATTCCAACAATTTATCTCTGGGATTTCCATGTGTAGGTGGGACGTATGGAAATCTCTGTTTGCATACTGTTAAGTATGATGATGGGTTTCTGCATGTGTCAGACACCCGGCTGACCTCCAAAAATAGCAGTAGTGGTTCACTGCCCCTTAGCTCTGATGCTGCTAAATTTGGCTTGAGGATGCTCTGACTGATCTGGCAGGCATACAATCGCCAGGCAGCATCGCTTCCCACTGAAACACTTCTTTTTCCTCTGCCAACTGTAATTTACATTTTTATTCATCAGGGTGGTGGGGAGAGGGGGAAATAAAAAGAACAAAAGAGGTGGAAGCAAAAGAGCAACCCAGTTTCCTTGCCAACGGGACAGCCCATTCAGTCTCTGATACGGTTTACATTGTTAACTGCATTAGTGCCAGGCCAGTGGGCACCAAGGTACAATCTGGCCTCCCTTATACAAGGCCAGAGCTCGCAGGTGCCCAGTACCAGAGCATACATAGCAAATTACATTTATATAGCGCCTTTCACATCAGAAGGACATCCCGAAACTCCGCATCTCGGCCCAGCAACACTGCCCAGGACCCCAGATCTCAGCTCACTTCCCCCTTTGAGTTTTCAGATCTTCCAAATTGTTGCCAGGTATCCAAACAGATGGGGAAAGTGATTCTGACAAGTAACGTTTGCATTAACAAGCCTTGCATTCTATGCACGTCTAAGTCGGAGAGAAAAATGGTTTGTAAAATCAGTTCTGTTGGATGTTGTCAGCATGAGTTAGACTCACTTGGTACAAAAATAATAATCATAATATTTATATTCAGTACCTGGCCTTTCACATTGGGAGGATATCACAAGATATACTGTAAAGCAGAGTGACTGCATGTTTTATTAGTAATAATTTGATATAGCGCTTTATCACGTTGTTGATAAGGCGCTATATCAAATTATTATTAATAATAATATATACTGTAAAGTGGATTGATTGTGTATTTTGTGGGCAAATGCGGCAGCCAGTTTGCGCACAACAAAGTGCCACAAACAGTCATTAAGAAATGAGTGAACAATTTTATTTTGAGGGGGATGTTGGCCAGGACACCGGAAGAATCTCCCTTCTCTTTTTGAATAGTGCCACGGGATCTTTAACCTCCACTATCTGAACAGGTAGACGGGCTTCAGTTTCAACATCTCATCTGAAGCACTTCCGATAATGCAACAACCCCAGCTCTGCATTGGAGTGTTACCTTAGACGATGCCATTCCAAGTCCTGAGTGGAGCTTGAACCTTCTGACTCTGAGGCGAGAATGCTTACACTGAGTCAGGCTGACACGATTTTTGGGGGTGAACGTCCATCAAAGTACAAGTTTGTTTCAGTAGGTGAAAATAAAGTAAACAACATCCTGTTCTGATTTCTATACACCGTCACTCAGTGTATAGAGTTAACTATTTTCTTGCTCCTGGCTGTGGCTGTGAATCTGTAAATCTCTGGACTGAAGGAGGGGGAGGGAAGGAACCTGGCAAATGAACAGTAAAGCTGCTTCTGTAGCAAAGCCACGGCTTAGAGGGATCCAGTGGGAAAGAATGTAAAAAAAGGAACATGGAAACTGTCCGTCTGTTGAGGGCATTAAAGAACGAGACTGGATAACGGTAACTCTGTCTTTCATAAAGGAGATAAATAGGATATCAAATATAAATTTATTAAGGATAAAGATAACTTTACTTGTCATAAAAATAAAAACATCGCCCACAAGATACACCAGTCAAACCACTTTACAGTATAACCCGTGAGGCGCTTTGAGACGTTGCGACAATGTGATAAAGCGCTGTATCAAACGCAAGAATTATAATTGTGAGGTTAAAAAGTTTTCTGTTATTCCCATAGCAGCCGGGCTCGGTTGGTAGCACTCTCACCCTCTGGATCAGAAGGATGTGGGCTTCAAGCCCCCACGTCAGGGACCTTGAGTCACAATGTCCTGGACGCTGTCCAATCTCGACTCTGTAGTGTCAAGGTCCCTAATGTGCAGCTTGGATCCCATAGTCCAGTGCAGTGACGGGGAGCGTGAACGTTGCGTCTATTACGAAATGTCACAAATTTATCCCCAGTTGAATCAAAAGGAAGGAATAAGGACAGTGGAGAAGAGTGGCAGTGTGGGTAAGAGAGAACTTTATTTAAAAAAAACGCTGGGTGGGGGAAGCTGATACGAAACAAAGACAGAGTTTAACACTTTTCCAAGACAAGGGGACCAAGTCAAATTTCAGGCTCCTAAACATGAGTGATGACCCGGAAGTGGTTGATAAGATTGAAATAAAGGAACATTTTGTATCTAGTGATGACAGCATCATCAGAAATAAAACACTCCTGCAGAGAAGAAGGACTGTGATTTAAGAATATTGACTTTAAAAGAGGGAGCCAAGTTGCATTTTTATCAGCTCAGAGGAGGCAGCTGAATAATAATAATAATAATCCTTACATTTGATATAGCGCCTTTCACATCAGGGGGACTTCTCAAAGCGCTTCAGCTGGTATCATAATAATCCTTGAATTTGATATAGCGCCTTATCACACCGTTGATCATCTCAAAGTGCTTCATAGAATATATTGCAAAGTGGATGACCAACTAGATGATCAAATCCGCCATCCCTCACAATGGGGAAAGCATAGAGGGTGCAGAGATAAGCAACAAAAGTGATATCGAGCCCTAGAAACCCTGAGTCATGAGGAAAGGTTAAGTTAGTTTCTTTGGAAAAGAGGAGACTGCAAGGTGATCAGAGTATGCTGACTAGGGTTCAACTGGGCAAATGGTTCTATATAGTGTTAATGTTTTAAACAACAGGAAATGCAAAGATAAAGAGAAAGGTAAACAGCTAGTTTACACTTATAATAATAATAATATTAATAATAATCCTTGCATTTGATAAAGCCCCTTATCGTGTTGTCAAAACGGCTCAAAGCGCTTCATAAATTATACTATGAAGTGGATTGACTGTATTTTGTGGGCGAACGCAGCAGCGAACTTGGCACAGCAGTGTCTCACAAACAGCCATGGAGTGATTGACCAATTTTATTTGGGTGGGATTTGTTGGATAGGACACTGAGAGAAACTCCCTTCTCTTTTCGAGTAGCACCATGGGATCTTTATAATCCACAGTTACTTCATAATTATATATATATTAAGTATATATCAAATGTCAATAGATCCATGGAATAAGTTACCAGTAAGGCTGTTGAAGCAAACTGTATAAATGTGCTCAGGTGATAACAAAGCCTGTGTTTCTGACATGAGAAGTGATTGAGAAATACAGTGAACCATCAGGTAGCTGAACTTCAGCACTATCAGAGTTCAGACGGTCTGATCAAACATGATGGACACTTTTCTGCCCTGATAATTCACACATTCGCACGGTCCATATTTCTCTCTGACTCCACATTCTGTGTTGCAGCTCTGCTACCCTTCCTTCAATGATCAAGTGTGTTGAGGAGAACAATGGCATAGATAAGAGGATCTGCAGGTTTGTTCTTCCCATCGGTGCTACAGTGAACATGGACGGAGCTGCTATTTTCCAGAGCGCTGCTGCTGTCTTCATTGCCCAGATGAATGACGTCACCTTAGATGCTGGGCAGATCTTTACCATAATGTAAGTACCACCTTCCAGCCTGGCGCAGTGAGAGCACCCTTTCGACTCTTGAGTCAAAAGGCTGTGGGTTCAAGCCCCACATTGGGAATTGGAATCGCATTGTCTAAGCTGACACTCCAATGCAGCGCTGGGGGTCTGTTGCATTGTTGAAGGTGTCGTCCTTCGGATAAGACATTAAACTGAGGTCCCATCTATCTGTTCAGGTTAAAGATCCCACGGCACTATTTGAAAAGAGAAAGGAGTTTCTCCCAGTGTCTTGGCCAACAATTCCCCAAATAAAATAGGTCACTCACTTCATGGCTGTTTGTGGGTCATTGCTGTGCGCAGCTAGCTGCCATGTTTCACCCACATAATACAGTCACTTTACAGTATATGCTGTGAAGCACTTTGAGATGTCTCAACGACATGATAAGGTGCTATATCAAATGCAAGGATTATTAGTAGTATTCGCATTATTAACAGTGTGCTGTGTTCTGTTTCCAGTGTGACTGCCACAGCGTCCAGTGTGGGGGCTGCAGGAATCCCAGCTGGAGGAGTTCTTACAATAGCAATTATCCTGGAGGCTATCGGCCTTCCCACCAACGATCTCTCCCTAATATTAGCAGTCGACTGGATTGTGTAAGTATCTCAGATGGCAGGACAGCCTGAATTCCATTCAGAGCTCGAAAATCAGCCTTTCACAGCGACAAGTCCCCAATAGTGGGATTGAAGAAGCAGGAGAGGCAACGAGGTCACTCGGCACAGAGAGTCTTCCCACTCAACACCAGGGACCCCGCAGGCCAAGGCCCTGGCCCTACCTAGATAGGCAAGGTAAATGCTAGGGTCGAGACCCTAGTAAACATGTGTGCAAGTTTGCAATACCAGCCATAGGGAAATGGATTTTTTTTACTGAGAAAGAGGCAGATTTAGGAAGACAAAGAGAGTAAGGCCCGTACAGTGTGGCACTACAGTGACAGTGTAGCACTTGATGGAACAATGTTAGTCAGCAGAGTCACCAATTTTGTAAGTCGGATGTCAAGTTATCTGCACTACTTGCTTATCTGCAATGGGGTTGGTCCCAGTTAATGTAATAATCTGCTTCTCTTGTATACCTGTAGCATATTGGTTAGAACACTCGCCTCGCAAACAAGAGGACCCGGGTTCGATTCCCGGATGGGGCAAAACCTAAAGCAAGTTTTCCTACTCCACGTGCCTCTGTTTACCCAGCAGTAAGTAGGAACCTGGTTGTTAGTCGATTGGCGGATTGCTTTCCGGGGGTAATAATCCCTTGCAAAAATAATAAAAATAATAATTTGGTCACTCACTCCACGACTGTTTGTGGGACACGGCTGTGCACAATTGGCTGCCGCATTTCGCCCATAAAATATAGTCAATTAACTTTACAGTATATCTCTGAAGCGCTTTGAGATGCCTCAAAAACGTGATAATACGTTATATCAAATGCAAGGATTACTATTATTACCTGTGACTGATCAGGTTGGGAAAGTGCTGCCTTCTCCTCCCTTCCTGATGACCCTGTAAATAACACAGTGTTTTTTTACCATCATAAACCAGGGACCGGACCTGCACTATGGTGAATGTGGAGGGCGATGCTCTCCTAGCGGGAATTCTACACTACACCAATCTGAAGGAACTGGACAAGCAGAAAACCGAAATGACCGAGGTGAAGGTGGAGACAGTAGCAAACATTAAAGCGGAGGAAGAAAGCTCCCCGCTGGTCATCCACAAACAGCAGCCCCCGAATCCGTACAACACCGCAGGCGAGGACTCGGAGTCCGTACTGTGATGGGGGTGGAGGAGATGTTCAGCACAGTTCCGGTGCCTGACTCCCATTTCCTTGCGAGCCACGACCCATGGCCAAGCATCTGTGTTACTCATTACGCATCCTTTTCCGATTCTTTGCTTTTAACAAGAACCATCGGTATTTCTGCCCCCATCCTTTGGAACTCCATCCCACGGTCCCTTTGCCTCACCCCCTCCCTTCCCTCATTTAAGGCCTGTCTCAAGACCCTCCTCCTCGACTGCACTTTCGGTCACCCTCCTAGCCCTACCCTCCCCACCCTCACCCCTACACACCCCACCATCCACCCCTCCACCCAACCCCCAGCTCGGGTGGAAGCCCTTGACTGTCCAGCACCTTGGAACCTACTTCCAACGTGAAAGGCGCTTTATAAATCTGAATATTTGAAAACCAAACGGGGGTGGGGGAGGGGGACTGAAATTCCACCTTGCCGCAGCCCCTTTTAAGACCCTTTTGCCTCCAAATTTTAAGACGGCACAGAATTGTGCAAAATTATCTCAAAAAGAATCCAGCTGCCAAATTTAGGGATTTTTGCATTTTCCACAATTCCTCAAGACAAAATGGTCTAATAAGATAAGACAAGGTGGAATTTCAGGCCTCAGATTTCTTCTGTTGACATTAATGCTACAGTCCGAGCTCTGTCCCGTCTCCTCCCCTGGGCATTTGACACAAGTTAAAATGTAACATCACATTATCATTTAACAACAATTATTAACAAATACTTATATCAAAGGAACTGTTTGAGTCCGCAGTGAAACATTGACTTTTTTTCAAACTGTTTGACAAACTCAGCATAGTACAGCGCAGTGTTTAATCATTGTGTTTACGCCCTGCTTTTAGGGTTACGCCCTGTCGAGCGTTAATACCTGTGAACCGTGACACTGTGCGGATATGTGATCAATTCCCCTTTGGTGAGAGTCTCAGAATGCTCTCACGTCGCACAAAGTGACGCACTGCTGTTTGTACAACATCCTGTGTAACGTATTGCCCGAAGCCACCATCGTACCTGTAATGAGGCGATGCTTTACATACGTGTTGCTGCTCCTTTGACCTGTATCGTGCCTTACTCTGTATTATTGACTGTGTACTTTCTCAGTTTTGCTTGTGTTCCAGATTACTGCATTCCAGCGAGGGGTGGCAACCTTGGAGCTGTGTTTTTTTAATCCCAGGATTTCGGGGCTTCTAATGCCCCAAATTCTGGGATTCCAGGATCCCGAGGTGCTAAATCTTACGTCAAAAAAACACCAGGGGAACTCGGCAAAGGGCAACAATGCCAGTCACTGACTCACCTCCCTACCTCAGCAACACAGCAGCCTGACAAAAAGAGTGACAGGAAAATGTCAGTGACACAAACAGATACCGAGAGAGAGAGAGACAAGTACACACACATAATATACACACATATATATATAGAGAGAGAGAGCGAAAAGGGGTGCCACACAGATACACGTATAGAATATATATATAATATATATATAAATAGAGAAAAAACAGGAGCATAACACAGAAGGACTGAAAGAGAGATAGTGGCATAAACAGAGAGGGGAAATACATATAGAGACAGAGAGATATTGATGGACATTCACAGAGAAACTGAACAAGGGTTATTGGCACATGGGTGGGGTGGGGGGGTGGGGGGCAGAGAATCAGAGAGAAAGAGAGACAGCTGTACGAAAGCAAGAAATGAAACACTGAGTGAAACAGATGAATTTAACACAACAGAAATAAGCTACTGAGAGTTGCATATGTGTGTGTCGAGAGGATGGGGAGGGGGGAGATAGAAGAGAGAGATAGAGACGGAAAACAACACAGCGACAGACAGAAAGTAACTTTGCCGCTGTTGTTTATATTTTTTAATTTAACCCCCAAATTCCAGCATTTTCTTCTACCATTTTCATCCGGGGATCCTGGGTTTGAGATTCCTGAGATTGCAATCCATAATAATAATCCTGCATTTGATATAGCGCCTTATCACGTAGTTGAGACGTCCAAAGGACTTCACAGAATATACTGTAAAGTGTGGCGACTGTACTTTGTGGGTCTAACGCGGCAGCCAATTGCACACAGCAGTGACAATCCCTAAGTCCAACTGTGCGACAAAACAACAACGATAATAAATTACATTTGTGTAGTACCTTTCACATCAGAAGGATGTCCCAAAGTGCATCTTGCATTCACATAAGCCCTTGGTATGAAAGGAAGGTCTTGAAGTACATAACGGGACAGGATGAATCAGAAATGAAGTCAGTATTTTTTATGGGGGTTGAGCAGGGTCTAACATGAGACATTCGCAAACCAGATTTGCTGTGTTCACTGCAATGAATTACGACGGCTTGATTGTGATTCTGGCAGATTCACAAGTCCGACCAAAAGCCCGTCAACTCTGACAGCAAATCACTGCCCTGTTTCCCGACACGGCCTTTATTCAAATTGTGCACATACCTTGAAATAAATAATAATAATACAGTAATAATAATAATCCCTGCATTTGATATAGCAACTTATCTTGTCGTTGAGACGTCTCAAAGCGCTTCACAATATATTGTATCGATATATATATATACGTGGAAGGACAGTATTTTGTGGGCAAAATGCAGCAGACAATTGCGCAAATCGTGTCCAACAAACAGTCGTGGATTGAGGGACCACATTTTTTTCATCCCAACATTTGCGTTCTTAAAATAGGAACACATTTTTTATTTGGTAAAGAGGCATACGCACATGTTACAGGGTGAAGGTAGATCGGAGCATGGTTACATTAACCACCCCCTCAAACTTGCACTCTGTGTTCAAAAAATTAAGCATTGTTGTGGGCACAGATTATACTGGAAAATGGATTGACTGTGTATTTTGTGGGCAAAATGCGACAGCCAATTGTGCACAGCCGTATCCCACAAACAGTCATGGATTGAATCGCCATTTTTGTGGGGGAGGGATTATTAGCCCCGGAAAGCGATCTGCCAATCGACTAACAACCGGGTTCCTAATTACGGCTAGGTAAACAGAAAGGTGTGGAGTAAGGAAACTTACCTAAGGTTTCGCCCTGCCTGGGAATTGAACCCGGGTCCTCTTGTCTGCTAGGTGAGTGCACTAACTACCACGTGACGACTCTGTGAAGCACTTCAAGACATTAATGCACGCGAAGGGTGCTATGTAAATGCAAGATAGTGTCGTGATCGGCATTGTTGCACAATATTTTGATTTAGTAAGTGCTCGGAGTGATCCTCCACATGAAGGGCGCTATGTAAATGCAAGTTGTTGTTATACATGTTTCTTAATCTGGAATTTTACAGTCTGTAACATATTGGGAACACAATGACAGGACATATTGGGAACACAACAAATGTGGCAGAGAAGATTTCTCAGAGTTTAAACTGTAAGGCAAATTTTACATGTTATTGAACCGTTATGAGTCTTATATTATGGGTGAAAAATGTACTGTGCTCATTATCACTGATTTCAATGCTGCCACTCCAATTGGTGTCAGAGGTTAGAGGCATCGGCTGGCATTGGGCCAAGCTACAAGGTCCAAGTGGTGTGGTGGTGATGGGGAAGGGGCTCACAACAATTACAGGCAGTAATTTGAGATTGTTTCGAGTCCTCAGTTTTTGGCTTTGTGATAATTATCACATGACATATCACATTTTTCACCCCGATTAGGGCTGAGCTCCGAGTCGCGTGAAGGGCGCTATATAAATGCAAGTTGTTGTTGCCGTAACTGAGGCTGAATGGGTTACTTCACTTGACGTTACGGGTAAGCCATTAGCTGGGCCTGACATTGGCACTCTTAGACAACCAGGTACAAGGCTTGAAGTAGCTGTGGTTCAGAGTGACTGGGTGATCCATGCCAGTTCTGTCGTCTCCGGCTCCCCACTCTCTGAATGTCTGCTCCCAATCAAGGGTGATGGGGAGAGGAGCAGTGGATGGATGTGGGGGTGAGAGGCTTCCCTGGAGGAAAGAAAGAGGACGGCTGAGCTCAGGTTCCTCCTGTGCACATGACAGGCCAGTGACAATGGACTGGAAGCAGGTACCTGCCCAGGTCTGGCCTGGGCGATGTCTGTACAGGAAAACAAGGCATGGGCTCTCAGCACCTTCAGAAACAAAGAGGGGAGAAGTGGCAATAATAGAAAGAAACAGAAGCTTGTATAGCTGGTGTCATCATCTGAGGATGAGTTTCCCTGGTATTTTCCAATATACCCATGCCCATGCAAGGTTTATGTCTTTTAATTTTGGAACTTTCTTCCCCAATCCCTACACCTTGCTCCCTCCTTTCCCGATTTCAGATCACACCTAAAGACCCTTTTACTCTTTGACCATGGTTACGGTCACCTCCTGCCTCCCCGCCTACCCCCCTCCCCCCCCCAGCTCAACGTCAGGTTCCATTACTGTTAAATGCTCCAAGACGCTACTGTGCATAGAGGGCGCTATACAAATACAAGTTGTTGTCGTTGTCCTGCACATACTCTGTGCTGATATTGATCAGCAGAACTGAGGGAACCACTGAGCCTTTCTGTGTGCAGTATTCTGTGAATAAAATCTAAATGATGCTACTGCTTTTACTGTCTCGCCAAAATGACCCTACTATACTCTACCTGAAGGGTCTGTGCCTTTAGTGTTATTTCCACTTCTGTATTTTAAGTTTAAAGGCAAGAAAACGAAAAATAAACTGAAATGAATATTTTGTGTTTGTCAGCTTTCTCTAAATCCCTCCCCACCCCGAGCATCAATGTCATTTTACAATGTTGGGTACCCAACACTTGACACAGCACTCCTGATGGATCTATAAAAGATTACGATAATTTGTTTCAACTTACATTTTTATGTAGCACATTTCACGTCGGGAGAATGTTTCAAAGCACTTCACAGGATTTACTGTGCAGTTTAATGACTGTGTATTTTGTAAATAAACACAACAACCAATTTGCACATAGCAATGCCCCACAAACAGTTATGAAGTGAGCGCCCAATTTTATTTGGGGAATTGTTGGCCAGGACACTAGGAGAAACTCTCTTGTCTTTTCAAATAGTGCCATGGGACCTCAACTTCAGTTTAACATCTCATCTGAGGGACAGCACCTCTGACAATGCTAGCACTGCGCTGTGCTGTCATCTTAGATTATGTCCTCAAGCTCCCGACATGGGAATGAACCAATAACCTTCTAATCCAGATGCAT